GTGATCTGTGGATTCTTTCAACTGATACTTTGTTTTTTGTACTCAAAAGTTCTGGCCAGTTTTCTTGTATTATTTTTTGAATTATTATGCTCAGTTTTTTTTTAACTAGTCATTCTTTTGGGAAACCTATAATCCTTAAATGGTGTGTATGTATTTTATCCTTGAAATCAATATGTTTTGCTTATATAGACATTGTTTTCTTTCTTTCTTTTTCTTTCGTTTTTTTTTTTTGGTGAGGCAATAGGGGTTAAGTGACTTGCCCAGGGTCACACAGCTAGTAAATGTCAAGTGTCTGAGGCCAGATTAGAGCTCAGGCCTTCCTGATTCCAAGGCAGGCACTCTATTCACTAAACATTGTTTTCTTTTAACATTCTTGCTTTTTGCCTCTCTTCTTTCCAGAGTCCTTTACTTGTGTGTGTTTGGATTCCCAATCAGTTGTTTCTTCTTTTGTTCTTTGGTGAGATTTGGCATTCATATTTTTCTATTCTGCCAATTATTTCTGATGAGCAAGCCATAAATTCTGCATTCACAATTCTCATTTTTATCTTAAGTTATTTGGGAATACCCTATTGCGGTTCCATGTTCTCTAGAAATCCACAGGGTCATCAGATGTTGATTTATTTTCCTTTGTTTTGGAACATTTATTAATAGATGCCTGGACTCATTTAGATGATATAGAGTCCATATTCTCTTCTCTTATTAATATTTTTCCTGAATGTGCTCAAGGTCTTTAATAAATTTCCTTCCTTCTGAGATATTTGGTAATTTAAATCCTTTTTCCTTATATTCCATTATTGCTCACTTTCTGACTTCTCCTTTGATGATTGCTTCCCTGGGGACCTTAAAGCTGTCTCAATTTTTTTTCATATTGGGCAATTCATATTTCACTGGCCTCCAAGTGACTTTTAAGGGGACAGAACTGGACATGTCTGGAGGCCAGTCTCCCCCTTTTTCAGTCCTTGACATACACTGGTGACCTACCCCAGATTCCTCTTTTCCTCAGTTTTCTGAATGAGCATTGACTGCTATGCCACCATGGCTGCCAAAGCACGTTTCTGGCTCCAAGGCTGGAGTTCTATCCACCTAACTGCCCCTCTTACATGTACTTTTGATGAGCATTCATTTTTCCAAGTCTAACTTTGCTTATATCAAGTTCCCAGGCCACTGAAGTATTGGATACTTTTCTTAACCTTGGGCTGTGTGTGACATGGTGTAAAATGGCAGAATTCCGTCTCCATTTGGGAATTTTTGTAATTCTAGAACCCTACTTCTCTGTATATCAGGCCTCATTTGCTCATTGTTTGGGTTTTGATGGCTCAGAGTGAGTATAAGTAGCAATCATTTCTGTTCGGGCCAGAAACTCTGAGGGTCCCTCCCAGACTGATTGTTTTGTGAAGGCAAACTAGTCCATCCTTTGCCTCAGTTCTTACCTAGCCTTTAATTGCTGAATGGGTGTTGTCTCAGACAAACTGAGACCTGGGAAAGAGCTTAGCTTAAAAAGGCCAAGTGTTCTGACTCTGGAGGAGAGAGTGAGGCTGATGACTTTGCACAGCTCTGCTTCCCTTAAATCGAAATTACTTGCAAGTCAAGACATCACCCTCCTGATGTCATTGGTCTTCTTTGAGAATGGAGGACGAACAACTGCAATACGTCTGACGGTTATTGAAGTGTTCTCTTTTAGAGCTACATTTCCTTGGAGTAATATCCATTCTTTAAAACCAGAGAATCAGAACAACAAAAGAAAGCAATGAAACACATGTTTTTGTCGCAACACCACCTTAAGATGGGGAAACCACTCAATCCAGTTTCCCCTGAGTCAGTCTAGTGTCAACAGAAGTATGTATGTATGACTATTACATTATTATATATTATATATCCAGGTAATTAGCACCCAACTCTGGGTAGATGCTGTTTGATTGATTGTCAAATATTTTGTCACGTTCAACTCCAGACCTCCAGATGACTAAGTGCCATCAAAACCGCCACCACCACCACCATCACCACCATTACCTCCTTTACTACCACCATCTCCACCTTCACTACTGCCATAATCATCACCGCCACCACCACCACCACCACCACCATTACCTCCTTTACTACCACCATCTCCACCTTCACTACTACCATAATCATCACCGCCACCACCACCACCACCACCACCATTACCTCCTTTACTACCACCATCTCCACCTTCACTACTACCATAATCATCACCACCACCACCACCACCACATTCACCACTACTATAATACCATAACCACCACTATCATCACCATTACTACAACCACTATCACTATCACCGCCACCACCACCATCATCACCACCATTACCTCCTTTACTACCACCATCTCCACCTTCACTACTGCCATAATCATCACCACCACCACCACCACCACCACCACCACCATTACCTCCTTTACTACCACCATCTCCACCTTCACTACTACCATAATCATCACCACCACCACCACCACCACATTCACCACTACTATAATACCATAACCACCACTATCATCACCATTACTACAACCATTATCACTATCACCGCCACCACCACCATCATCACCACCATTACCTCCTTTACTACCACCATCTCCACCTTCACTACTACCATAATCATCACCACCACCACCACCACCACCGTCATCACCATCACCACCTTCACTACCATCACCACTACCACCATTACCATTGCTACCTTCACCACCTTTACTACTACTATCTCTACCTTCACCACTACCACCACTACCATTACCACCACAACCATCACCACCACTATTACTAGATGATATTCACATAGTACTTTCATGAAAACATAGATTTACAGCTGAAAGGGACCACAGAGCCCATCTAGTACAATTCCCTTATTTTGGAAATTGCAGTCCAAAGAAATTAAGTGACTCATCCAAGCTTCTAAATCTAATAAGTTTTAGAGGCAGGTTTTGAAAAAAAATGCCCTTATGCCAGAGCCATTTTGACATGTATGATGTATTATCTGAGCCTCATGACAACCATGTTAAGTAGGTAGCTATGATAAGTATTATTATTTCCATTTTACAGATGAAGAAACTAGGGCTCACATAAGTTAAATGATTTTCCTCTGATCACACAAGTAGGTGATAGAACTTAAACCCAGGCCTTTCTTGTTATCCACTTAACTACACTATGTTGACTCTCCAGACTTTGAGTCATAGGGTCATAAGTTGAGAAACGGAAGGGACTTTAGGAGCCATTTAGTCACCTCTCCTCATTTTACAGATGAAGAGACTGAGGCCCAGAGAAGTTAAATGACTTGCCCAAGGTCACACAGTAAATAGCAGAGCCAAGATTTGAACACGGTTCTCTGACTCCACACTGAGCTTTTTCCATTGCAAAATTCTCTCTCTAAGGAGCAGGAGACCCAAATTCAAATCCTCTGTTACTCACTATCTATGTGAATATGAGAGTTGTTTCTCATATCTGAGCCTCAGTTTCTTCATCTGTAAAACAGAGATCATAATACCTATAATCACCTACCTTATAGGACTGGCATGGGAGAAGCCTATATAAATGTGAGTTGTTGCTAGTAATAGCTCACTCTTGTATACTACCTTAATGTTATTGATGAAAAGCTCTCATGCTATTTGTGCTATACTGGTCTTCTATGCTTTAGCCATCGTCAGTGCCTTGAGGAATAGAGCTTGGGGACAACTGAGACAGCAAGTATTTTTTTCCCTTGCGCAGACCCTGCCTGGCAGGATCATCTGGGCTGCTCCCTTGAGCTCTTCCAACTCTCTGTGTCCTCCCTCTTGCAATAGGAGTGCTTGGACCACTTCCTTTGCCTGGTTGGTCACTACCCTAACCCCTAGGCAGATCTCTTGTCCCAAAGAGACCTGGCTAGACAATGTGGCTGGCTCAGAGTAAACCTAGAAAAGCAGCTTTCAGTGTTCTGAATAGAACATACTGCCAATGTGCCAGGCACTGTGCTAAGGACTGAGGATACGAAGAAAGAGAAGGAACAGCCCTTGCTATTCTAGAGTCAGAGGACCTGAGTCTGGATTGGGGCTTTGTAACTTAATGCCGGGGGATCATAGATTTTAAGGTAACCATGGACCTCAGAGACCAGCAAATCCAAGCCCTTCCATTCTTTAGATGACTGAACAAGTTGAGATGGCTTGTCCAAGGTTACAAAGAAGTGGGTGGCATAGAGGGAATTTGAACCAGGTCAGTTGAGTTTGCCCTAGTTATAAAATGAGGAAATTGGACTAGGTGACCTCTAAGTTCCTTTGCAGAAATAAAACTCAACAGAAACCCGGCGTTCACTCCTGAGTTAAATGAGGTCGGGTTGGGCACTGTTATCTTCCCAGCAGACATAGGTCAACTATAGTAATAACGTGATTTTTAATAACACCAGCTTTTCCAGCTCAAACACTAAGATGCTATGATCCTATTAATCAGACTGAAAGCAGCCCTGAGGCTCACGTCCCTCAGAATGACGGGCGAATGGATGAACAGAATCACTCCTTCATGTAGAGTATCTCTCTTTCTTGCTTCTCTCCAAGTCTCCCAGTTCCTGGAAACCCGACGAAATTTTATCATTCCCCAATCTCTTTTGGTCCCAAAGGTGCGAAGGATGGGGGGAGGGGGTGGCGGTGGGGGGAGAAGGGAGGGGAGGGACAATCCGCGCCCAGATGAGGGGAAGGCGCTTTCGAAGTTACTAAACAAGCCCGGCGCTGGGCCCCACGCAGTGGCGGGAAACCGTGCCTTGGTTTGCACGTCCCGCGGCTGAGGTTTCCCGCCTGGTGGCTGCCTGTCTCCGAGCTGTCGCTGGGGTCGATGCTGCGGCTACACTGGCCAGCAGGCAGGGAGTAGCGGGTCGGAGCCGCAGGCGGATACCCTTGGAGGGGCGGAGTGGAGCGGAACAGAGCAGAGCGGAGCAGAGCTCAGCAGAGCGTGTTAGGGCTGCAGCGCGCACAGCACCTGGCCTTGCCTTGGGCTGCGCTTGTGTGCCAGCCAGCCTGCCCCCTACCTTCATTCAGTCTATCTATGAACTCCGGGCCCTCAGGCAGGTGGCTGAAAGGGCTCCGTGGGCTCGCTCTAGGACGCGTCAAGCTGTCGGGGAGTCCAGGGAGGGAGAGCTCGGCCACCCTAACTTCTTTTCCTTCTTCGTGGCGCTCTAGCCTGACAGACCATGGTCACCCGGTGCGTTGCGCTGGGGCTGCTGCTCCTTGGGGCGGTCGGGGCCCTCCCACAGGTAAGTCAGTGCTGATTCTCCCTGGGGGACGTGGGACAGACAGAACGGGATGGGTTGGGACTGGACCACACTGGCCAGGCTTCCTTCCCCGGCCCCTTACTCTGGCTCCAGAGTGCTAGTGTGGACTGAGACAGCGTGGTGTGGTGGAAAGTGTGCTTAACAGGGAGTCGGGAGACTGGGGCTCGAATCTGGTTGCAGGAATTTACCCGAACGTGTGCGTGGATTTTGCGTATCTCAATTTTCTCCTACCCTGTGAGGCAGCAGTAGCAGAGAGTGAGGGACCCTGGATAGGGAAGAAGCCTAGGTACTGGAGAGCACGAGACAGCTGAGCTGCCCGACATTGACCCTGGGTCCTCAAGGTTACTGGTCTATGCTCAAGGGCCACAGCACTCTGGACTTCAGTTCCGCAAGACTTACCTCAGTCTCCTGATCCATAAGATGGGGTTAATAATCCCTGCCTGCCTTCGTTACGGGACCGATAAGAGTGGGGTTAGTCGGAAAAGAGACTTAGGGACCCGAGTTCGAATTTTTTGGCCAGATCACTTAATCTCTCTGTGAGCCTGGCCAACTCTGAATTCTGGCTCTACTCTTCATCATAGCGGAGTGTAAGAAGTCCTAAACTTGAATTCACAGGAACAGAATTTGAATCCTGCCTTTTCCATTTACGACTGGTGTGATCTTGGACAAGTCCCTGAATCTTTCTCTGGGTCTCAGTTTCCCGATCTGAAAAATAGGGAAGGGTTGATTGAACCAAATAATCTTCCAACTCTGAATCTGTGATCTTTCGGCTTTGGTCAAGTCTCATCTTACCCTTTTCTTTAAAATGGGGATAACATTACTTGGCACTGCCTCCCTGACAGGCCTGTTGTAAAGACATGTGACATAGCTTAAGGCTAGCTGGCACAGGCACACATAGCTTCCTTGGCTGAAAGCAGGGAATTTAGAGACAGAGGACCTGAGTTCAAATATCTGCCCTGTGCCTTAGTATGTGACTATGGACACGTTGCTTAATATCTCTGGGCTTCAGTTTCCTTTCTGGAATTCCAGTAATAGCCACAAGGTTCTGCCTGCTAATGTACAAAGTACCCACAATCTTCCAGACCTGAGGCTTGAACCCACCCCCCCACTCCTAATCTCCATCACACTGTACTGGCAGAGAACCTTGAGAAAGACATGTGGCCGAGAGATTTTCCTATTCCTGTAACAGATACACAAGGACCTAGTGTCAATTGTATATGTATGAACACATGTGTGAGTGTGAGATGGAGGCTCAGAGCCCTGGTTTCATGGATTAGGACCAAAGGACCTTACAGGTCATCTCATTTTACAGATGAGGAAACTGAGACCTAGACAGATTAAGTGACTTGTCCAAGGTCACATAGACAGCACTTGAACCCAAGTCCCAGCTTTGTCTAATATGACAGCTGCCTTCCAGGGTTGGACTAGATGATCCCCAAGGTCATTCTTTCCAACTAGATTGGTTCTCAGGATTGTTTTCAGAGAAGCATTTGGATTCAGGCAGGAGCCCACCTGAGGGCATTTTACCTCTACCTCTGAGTTTCTCTCCACTTTCTTCATTCCTTAATTCCCTAGGACAATCCTAGATCTCAAACTAGGAGCCCCAGAGAGTTGAGGGGTGGCTCTTGAGTGGAGGACGAGTAGGTGAGGTGGGAGGTGAAGGCAAAAAAGGGCCAGGGGTATCTTTAAAGATAAACTCTAAGGATGACCAACTATGAACCCAGCAGACAAAACCATGTGGTCCTGAGCTCTTCTAGAGATGGGACCCTCTGCCTTCCAGTAAGTAATTGCTTAGCCCATCCCATTACCGATTAGGGCTTTTAACAGCACCCCCTACCCCCACTCCTCCACCACCTAGTTCTGAGATAGCATATGAGCAAGGCATGCAGAGTTGGGGTTTGCTGAACTGTTGCCTCATGTTATGTATGCCTTGGATAGGGGCTGGCTTCCCACAGCTCTGTGATTCCCCACAGCCAAGAACTGCAGGTTGATTTTAGCAAAATTTTGCTTTCTCTATATAAGGCATGGGAAAACACAAAATGATGGGGAAAAGATAATGATCCCTGCTCTCAAGTAATTTACAGCCTTCTAGGGGTAGATCAAAAGTGACAGTGGCCTTAAAAAGCTATTTTACTATTGGGTTACATTGAGAAAGACTTAGCTTCCAGGAATTTGGGACCACATGGATTCAACCCAGATCAGACAGTGTCTTGAATGTTATGTTCAGTTATGGCACAGTGTAGGAGGGGCCTGGATAAACTGGAGAGTGTCCAGAGAAGGACAAGCCAGATGGCAAGGGGCCTCCAGTCTGTGCCTTATGAGGATCCATTAAAGGAACTGGGGAGAGTCAGCCTGGAGAAGAAAGAACTCCAGAAGGACATGGCAGTTGTTTTCATGTGCTTGCAAGACTGTCACGTTCAAGAACAGTTAGACTTACTGGCTTCTACTCTAGAGGGCAGATACAGGGGGGTAATAGAAGAAGTTACAGAGAGACAGATTTAGGCTCCACATCAGGAAGAACTTAATAGGGGCAGCTAGGTGGCATAGTAGATAGAGCTCCTGCCTTGGAGTCAAGAGGACCTGAGTTCAGATCTGGCCTCAGACACTTGAGAGGTGAGCAAAAGTGGGATGGGTCGTTTTGAGAGGAGGTGAGGTCCTCCCCTTGTCCACTTTAGTATTCAAACCAAAACTAGATGACCTATACTGGAGTGTGTTCAAGGAGGGCTTCCGGCCTTCATCTCTGAAATTCTCTGATCCTGGGATTTTATCTGAGTTACCCAGATCAATACACTAAGCTTCAAGATTTAGAATTAGAAGGGGCTCCAAAGATCTCTGGGCTCAACCTCTTTATTCTTCAGACAAGGAAACCGAGGTCCAGGGAGGTAAGTGACTTGTCCAACATCACACAGGTGAGTGGAAGAAGGAGGATTTGATTCCAGTACCATCCTACTGTGCTGTCTTCTTTAGAATGTGACCCAGACAATGTACTGTCTTCCCCAGAAAGACATCCAGGTCAAAGGAGAGCCCCGGACAAAGAGTAGGAAGGAAAGGAGGAGTGTCTGCTCTCAATCATCTTGTTATAACGGAAACGGAACACGTGGGCAGCATGGTAACGGTAGAAAGAACACTGGCTTTAGAATTTGTAGACCTGGGTTCAAATCCTGGCTCCACTATTTACTACCTGAATGACCTGGGGCAAGTCACATATCTGCTGCACACGTCAGTATCTCCATCTGTAAAATGAAGGCGTTGGAAGAGATGGTCTCTTAAATCCCTTACAATTTTAGATTGACAATCCTACTATGACTAGGCAGTCATTGTGGTGGTGAAGGGTTAGGTTTCAGTATGCCAAAAGTGACCTTGGGGAAAAAAAGTCAGGTGACTCAGAGATGAATGTCCCCATAATAGTAGACATTCACATTATCCCTTAAAGCTTGGAAAATACTTTCCATACGTTATCACATTTGAGCTCTTACAACTCACGCTGTGAGATAAGTGCTATTCCCATCTTACAGATAGAGAAACTGAGGCTCAGACAGGTTAAATGACTTGCCCACAGGTCATATAGCTAGTTAGTACCAGAGGCTAAATTTGAATCCAGGTCTTCCTGGATTTTCAAGTAACAACTTACAGTCTTCTAGGGGTGGGTAAAAAGTGATAGCGGCAAAAAAAAAAAAGCTATTATAATCTTGGGTTACATTGAGAAAGACCTAGCTTCCAGGAATTGGGGCCACATGGATTCATCCCATATCAGACAGTGTCTTGAGTGTTATGTTCAGTTCTGGCACAGTGTAGGAGGGGCCTGGATAAACTGGAGAGCATCCAGAGAAGGGCAAGCCAGATGGCAAAGGGCCCCAAGTCCATGCCCAATGAGGATCGGTTAAAGGAACTAAGGAGGGTCAGCCTGGAGAAGAGAGAATTGCAGAAGCTCATGGGCTTGCAAGATTGTCATGTGCAAGAGCAGTTAGACTCACTTGGTCTGACCAGATGCCCCATCTGGTTCTCTAGAGCAGAGGGATCAAACTTGAAGAGAAATGCAGGCCACTAAACTGTACCTGAGGATCCCTGAGGGCTACTTGTTAACTTAGAAAGTCCCATCTGAACAATAGCTATGTTTTATGGTATTTTTATTTACTTTGTTAAACATTTCCCAATTACATTTGAATCTGGTCAGCCCTCACTTAGGAGTATTGTATTTCTCACCTCTGGGCTAGATCACACTGCCTCTTTGGCCCCGACGTCAATCAATTAACTAATCAATCTGTCAATCAAGAATTGATCACGTGCCTCCTCGGTCTGGGGCTCTGTTCTCAGGACTGGCAATGTAAGAGAAACTTTCGAAGGTGAGAATTGTGTAAGGGTGGGAAGGGGCTGCCTTGGAGGCAGTGGCCTCTCCTCCACTGGGAGGTGTCTTTGAGCTTTGGTGGAAGGGGATGGTGTGTCAGGGATTCCTTCTCTGGTACAGGTTTGATGAAACGCTCTCCAAGGTTTCTTCCAGCTCTGAGCGTCCATGGTCTGGCAAACACAGTCTACCTTAATCCCTGACCAGGTCTGAGTATGCCACCTGAGCCTGGCAGGCAGTGCTGGCTTCCTGCTGGCAGGAGCTAGAGAGGGAGGGAAGGAGGTAGGAGCCTGTCGGGTTGGGGACCCCCACTGCTCAGTTTTAAAAGCTGCCTCAAGTGGAAGGCTTTAGTTCACTTTACCTTTCATATACTTTACCTTTATCATTTTAATACTATTTACTTTTATAGTAATATCTTTTATAGACTCCTTGGTTACAGACACAAACATTCTCATCTCTTCTTTCCTTTTCACCACCGTTGTCTTTGAATGTCAAGGCATTGAAGTGGTTTGAAGGAGCCTTGAGGCTTCTCAGATCAAACCGCAGCTGGCTCCAATTGTATGGATTACAGAGGGCGAGTAGACAAGATGGCAGAAAGACCGCTGTCTTAGAGTCTCCGCTGGCTAGGTCAGGGAAGGAG